GGGATCCCGTCGGGACCGGGCCTGGCTGGCTCCCGGTTTGGAGCGGGATCAGGGGGTCCCCAGGGCCGGCTGGGCCCTGGCGGGGTCCCCGCTTCCGAGAGCTGGGTCTCGATGTCACCCTGTGGGCAGATCCCGGTGTCCCACCGAGCCCTGGTGCTTCACCAGGTCCAGGTGCTCCGGTATCCCGCCGTGCCCGGGTCCCGGTGCTTCAGGGCAGGCCTCACCCCGTGTTCTTTCTCTCCCAGGAAGGAGAAGAAGATGGACAACATGAAGCCCAAGCACCCCGACGAGCAGGAGATCCCTTTCCGCCTGCGGGAGCTCATCAAGAGCCGTGAGGCCATGAAGCGCCCCGACCCCGGGAAGAGGCGGGCGGCAGGTGGGGAGCGGAGCTGGCCCGAGCAGGTTGTGGTGCAGCTGGAGGCAGCCGGATCCTGCAGTGGGGCATCCTGCTCCCCCCGGTGATGTCCCATCCCTGCCCTGCCAGGGGGAGGGAACCCCCAGGTTGTCACTGCTGTAGTAATGTCACCCGTCTCTCCTAGAGAAGAAGCAGCAGCCCAAGTCAAAGGGCCCCGTGGCCCAGGGAGACATCCCCGTGCCCAAATTCAGGAGGGGGAAGGGGGAGTCGGAGCGCTCCTACGTCTGCCGCATGGAGCAGGAGGTGCAGCGCGTCCTGTTCCTCACCAAGAACCAGCTGCAGCGAGAGCCTGAGAAGGAGGCGACGGCACCAGAGAAGTCCAAGAGAAAGAAAGAGTGAGAGCAAGGCCACCGTGGCTGCTGGGGCTGGACGGGGTCAGCCCGGGCCTGTGCCCCAGACCGGTTCTGGGCACGTGGTGGGTGCTTCGCTGGTGCTGCAGCGCAGGTCTGGCATCCGGCAGTGACTTGGGGTGCGGGTGGAGGGCTGCGGGCCTCATCTCCACGGGGCTGGATCTTTGGGACTGGAGCCACAGACCTGCTTCATCCTCCTGCTACTGGGCTGGAGCTGGGGGGAGAGCTGTGGGGCCACAGGTTTTGGGGGGGATCCTGTGGGGTAGGAACTCACTCGCTCCTGTCCGGTCACGAGCCCTGGCCGTAACTCAGCTCTTCAGGTTTCAGAATAAGAAGCTGGAAAAAGCGCGGAAGAAGAAGGAAGAGAAGAAAGAGGCTATGCTGGAGAAGAGCCTGTTCCAAGGTGGGCCTGGTGCAGCGGGGCGGCTGGAGTGACCCCCTGCCCTGGGGGAGATGTGGGGCTGAGCTGGAGCAGCGTGTCCCGGGGAGCTCCTGCCTGACGCCAGTGCCTGCTTCTCTCTTTTAGACACGGTGGCGTTCGGTGAAGTGGTTACGCAGCCGCCCACCATCACCTCGCGGCCCAGGGGCCGGGGCGCCGCAGAGCAGGTGAGCTGCCGGGGGGCGATGCCTCCCGCCCCTCAGCCGTGCCCTCGGGTACCCGCAGGTCTGGGCTGGACCCGGGTCTCACCTCCCTCGGGCTGGAAATCAGGCCTGGAAGGGCAGTGTCATTCCTTGGAGCTTGGTCCTGGCTTTTTCATCCCTCATCCTCCCTGACCTGTCCCATCTCTGCCTGCAGGCTGGACGGAAGCGGCTCCTCCTGACCTCTCGCCTGGGCCAGAGCCAGGCATCCCCTGTGTCCCCAGCAGCGCCGGTGTCGATGGCTCGCCGGCGCATCGTGGAGGAGGAGAGAGCGCGTGTCATCCAGGCCTACAGGGACATCCAGAGGCGCAAACAGCAGCAGCGGGAGGTGGCACGGGGCAGCGCCCGGGCAGGATGCGGGGTACCCCGCTGAGCCCGGCCTGGAGGAGCTGGGCCTCCCTGGTCCCAACAAGGGTGTGCAGGCAGCACAGGACCCCAGGACTCGAGGGGGGTGGTTGTCCTGACCCTGCTCTTCTGTTGCCATTGCTGAGCCCTGGGGCTCCCCACAGCCCCACACCTCAGCTCGGGGCACCCCGTGGGCTCGGTGCCGGAGCTGGGAACCCTGCGGTGCCACGGACCTGCTTGTAGTAAAAGTGCTGATGGCGTGAGCGCGTCTGTGCCTCCCCGACCTGCTCAGCTTTCCTTCCTGTGCGGTGGCTGGGAAGGGACGTCACTGTGCCGGTGTGTGCGCGGCTGTGCCGAGTGGCATGCTGGCAGGCATGCCGGCAGATGGCAGTCCCAGCCCGTAGCAGGCATGTTGTCACTGTCACTCACTGCGGGCTGGCCCTGGCAGGGCTCTGCCTGGGGGCACGACCTCGTTGCTCAGCGTCGAGAGAGACCCCAGTGCCTGGCCATGACCCCTCTGGCTCCCACCCCAGCTCCCGGTTGCAGGAGAGCGTGCCGAGCCCCGGGGATGTGGAGCATCCCACAGGACTCACCTGCACGGTGTCACTTTCCTCCGTTGTCACCGCTCGGAGACGCTGCGTGAGCCCTTCTTCCGCAGCCGTGCCTGCCCGTGGCGTCACCACCCAGTCTGGCACTGCTCACATCCCTGCCTGTCCCCAGCAGACACCCCAGGCCGCGGTGACTGCGGTGCCCTCCCTGCTGCCAGGGATGCTGCCACAGCCCCATTGCTGCACCCACACCAACCCCGCGCCATCCGGCACAGCCGCAAGGCCCCACGCAATCCAGGCCTGGCACACGCCCCACCGGGGCTGACAGCCCCCAGCTCCCGGCCCTCGATGGGGGTGTCCAGGGGGCTGCTCCCGGCACAGCACAGCCCGTGTCTGCTGGTGGGGCCGGCACGGCAGCTTCACCTGCACGGGACAAAGGCAGTGCTGTTCGGCGGCACTGTGCCGCAATGCCTGCACAAAGCGTTGCCTGTTGGAGCGGGGCCGGCCCCGGCTCTGCGGCCACTGCTGACGGCAGCCAGTGGGATCCCGGGCTTCCGGAGGGGCTGGGGCCGGACACGGGGAGCGGAGCCACCGGTAGCTCTCGTGTCCCCTGCCACAGCTGAATGGGGACAATCTTTGCTCCTCATTTTTCAGGTCACTCTGCTGTCCCCAGGACTGTCACCTCCTTCCTTGCCAACTGGGAAGGCAGGGCTCTGCCATACCGCGGCTGGGGACCACGGTGTCCTACGTGCGGGCTGGGGGCAGCTGCTGCATCAGCCCAGCTCAGCCTGGGTTGGGGCTGGGCTTGCAGGTGAACGCGCTGGGGATGGGGCACACGCTGGGGCCCTGCCGCGCCGTGCTGTGCCGTGTGGTGCCAGCAGCCGGGAGGCGGGCGTGCTGTGGTGGCGGCAGCCCTGGGGACCTCAAGTGCCTGGTGCTGCCGGGAGACGTCCCCGCTGCCGACTGACGCCAGGTAAACACAGGTGACGCAGCACAGCCCCAGGGGGCACGGCCAGATCCTGCTGCAAACAGCCGGCCCCCGCAGCGGGCCGTGGCCGCGCCTGCCACGTCCCCACAGCCGGGAGCGTGGGCACGTGCTGGCTGGCAAGGGCATGGTTTGGACGCCGCATGTGCCAAGCTCTTGCTTGTGCATCCCTCATGCGGGTGCCATGGCGCTCGTGCCTGCAGCCACGGGCAGCCCCACTGCCGCCGGCCCAGCTCCGGCTCAAGGAGACCAGGTCACCCATCTGCCCCCATGGAGCCATTTCAACGCCTGAATAATTCATGGCACTACCGGCGGTGGCCGCAGGCTTCCTGCCCGGCAGGAGAAATCGCTGCAGAGGGGAAAGGCAATCTGAGCAGGAGAAACCGCTCCCGACCTTGGCACGTCCTCCACGCCGTGCCACTTCCCGCCAGGCAGCCCATCTGCCCGTGGGCCGCCGGTCCTGCGCTGCCTGCCCTGCTGAGGCTGCCGGCTCCCGGCCCAGCAGCTCCATCTGTGTGCCTGGCCCCAGTGCATGCTGCTGCAGGGGGACAGGGAGCAGGGACTGGGGCTGGGGGATGCCAAGGGCCCTACTCTGAGCCCCCTGCCTTGTTCCCCGCTGTCCCCCAGGAGCAGGTCGTGGGGCTGAGCTTGCCGGCACCATGGCAGAAGCCCTTGGCCGTGGTGGGACCAGGGATGGAGGAGCAGCCGGTGGCACAGCTCAGTATTCCCTCCCCATTATGGGCCGCCTGCTACAGCACCATGTAGGAAAAACCACCTTTATTGGGGCTGACCTGAAAAAAAGGGAGAAGAGGAAGAACGAAAGAGAAAGCCACGAGGAGGGCGAGGGGCCCAGCTCCCTCCCTGCTCCCCGGGAGGGATTCCTGAGCCCCGAGGGGGGAAGGCACCAAGAAGGCAGCCGGAGCCACAGGGGCCGGGTCCCCAGCCCCAGCAAGGCACTGATCCCCGGACTCCGAGCAGCTCCCCCTTCCCCAGCAACGGGAAAACTGAGGCACAGTGGAAGCCAGGGCGGGGGAGAGCCTTCTGTCACCTTGTGCCCTGCGGCGGGACGGTGCCGGCTCGGCTCAGGGCCTGTGACGTCCCCAGGGCTGGCGAGGATCAGCGTCAAACCAGGGGCTCAGCGCCGGGGTGAGCCCTGGGCAGGAGTCCCACTGGCTCCCCAGCTTCTCCACAGAGGATGGTCCCTGGCCCGGAGGGGATGGGGTGTCCGTGTGCCACGATGGCAGCAAGGGGACGACTCGGGGTGGCCCCGCGGGAGCTGGTCCTTGCGGCAGGGACGGCAGCAGGGACACGGGGGTCCAGGCAGAGCTGGCGGCTTGCAGGTGCTGCGGCCAGGCGGGACGGGCAGGCAGGAGCGCTGGCTCCGGGACCACGTCCAGGCGTCCCCTGCACAGGAACCGGCTCTGGCCGCCGGATGGGGTGGGATGTACGCGGCAGGGCAGGATGAGGCTTGGCAAGACCTCAGGAGCGGGACGGTGGGGCCGTGGCTGTGCCAGCGCTGTGGGACCTGTGCCGCTGTGGGGGCTTCACCACCGGTTCCTGCTGTACGGGGACTGCACCTGCGGGCAGAGCGGGACAGTGCTGGGGTGGCGTGGCGGTGGCGGGGCTGTGGCACAGGCCAGCAGACCCAGCTCCGGCACCAGTGGGGAAGTGCAGCCATGCTCGCCCCTGCACTGGCTTGCCCTGGGGCACCGGAGTGCAAGGCAGAGCCATCCCTGTCCCTGCCCTCCCACGGGAGACGCTGTGGTGGGGACAGACTTTGCACCCAGTCGTGGGCTGGACCTCGGTGCCCGCTCCCCCGCCTGCTGCGTTGCACATTAACCCACCTGGCAGCTCCTGCCGTCCCGCTGGGCGCCAGCGTGTCGGGCCTGCGCCGCGAAGGCGTCCTCGGCTCGCAGCGTGGAGCTGGCGCTGCCGGCCGCCGGGCTGGCGGTGGAGGCACGGGGCAGGATCACGTCGTAGGGACCTTCGGTCTGCGGGGCAGAGGAGGGAGGGCTGCAGAGGCACTGGGAGCACCCCCAGCCCCGTGGGGTCCCGGGGGGGTGAACGCAAGGAGTGACCCCCACCAGCACCCTGTTACAGCAGTCCTTGGGACGTGGGGGCCAGGGGAGCCCCCACACACCCTGGCCCCCGTCCCGGCCGCTCTGGTTGAAAGCCCGTCCATCAGGCAGGGTGCGGCCGCCCCCGGAGAGCCCTGCTGGCTGGTGGTGCCGCGCGGCGTCGCACTTACCGGACCCTTGTGCATCAGAGCCATCTCGGTGGGCTGGTAGACGCTGGTCAGGAGCTGCCCGTTGTAGCCGCTGTACGGGGACACTGGCTTCTTGGCTGCAAAGAGATGGGGACGGTAAAAGGGGGGACCCACACAGCCATCCCCACCCCACTGGGGAGCTGCTCCTCGTTAGCAGGTTTAATGAGCTGACTCAGCAACCGGCTGCTCTGCGCCTTTCCCGGGGGACGGGAGGGATGTCCCAAGGGTTTGCATCACCGCGCTCCCGGCACAGCCCCTGCCCAGCCAGGGTTTGTTATTGTAGGGCCTCTTGGGAGGCAGGGTGGTGTGGGTGCTGCTCAGGAGCGCCCACCCTGCCCCATGGGCTGCAGACACCTTTGCTAGGGCAGGGCTGGCGCTCACCCACCAGTCCCTGTTGGGGCAGCCGACACCGCCCCATGTTATTGTAGGGTCTCGCGAGCAGAGTGGCTGCCTGGGGCGGAGGGCCGGGAGCCATGGGCACCCCGCACCGGGGAGGGAACACCCCTGCAGCCACTGAGCTCAGCCCAAACTGGTAGACCCAGCCCAGCGAGTTCTCGGGCGCCACAACAATGGCAGGCGTCAATCCCGGGCGGGTCGCGGCCAGACGTCTCGCCGCCCGCCCACCGCTGCCAGCCCCGGTGCCGGTGCCCGCCGCCAGCCCCACCGTGGGGCAAGAGGGTCCCTGGTGAGCCCTGGCACCTACCGAAGGAGGGCTCGTCCATGGAGAAGGCTTTGTTCTCCACAAACATGCTCTGCGACTTCTGCTCCTTGAGGATGGTCTCATAGCCCACCCCGCGCGTGGGGTAGACGTCGTCCTCGAAGGCCTGCTCGGGGCTCTGCCGCGTCACGTGCGTCACCTCGGGGATGATGTAAAGGAGGAGGAAGGTGCAGGCGTTGGAGACCAACGCGATGGCCAGTGTGGGGTCGTCCCAGCCGGGCTTCTCGCCTGCACTCTGGTTCCCGTAGAGGTACATGGCTGTCCATGCCACCCAGATGGCCATGGAGAGGCCAGTGGTGGCCAGGATGAAGGCGCCATGCTTGCGCCAGCAGCCGTAGCGGCCGCAGAGGGCCGGCCAGGCGGTGCCAAAGGCGGCCACCAGCAGGAACATGACGTAGATGAGCGCCATGACGAAGTCAGCGTCCGCCAGCTGGCAAGGGTCCGGGGAGCCGCCCTCCTGCCGCGCCACCGTGATGATGAGCCACTCGGCGTTGATGATGACCTCCACCAAAGCGAGGAGCAGGGCCACCGCCAGCGTCACCCAGCCCCGCGGGCCCCGGTTCCTCCGCACCAAGAAGTTGAGGGCCACGGCGTGCGCCAGCAAGCAGGAGAAGCAGATACCGAAGAGGACGCCAAAGAGGAAGCGGCGGGAGGTGCAGGTGGAGAAATCCGGCCCTACGATGAAGTCAAATGTCAGGCAGAAGAGCCCGAAGGTGCCCAGAAGAAAGAAGACCTGCGTGGCCACTAGGCTCTTCTTCTGGGGGTCCTGCATGAAGGGCAGGCTGGCCACCAGGACGATGGTAAGCACGAAGCTGGTCACCACGCCGAGGCTGGCCACGGCCTCCAGCACAATGCCCCAGGCTGCTGAGAGGTCGCAGAGGTTGTAGTAGAGGGAGGAGAGGTCCTTGCCGCAGCCCGAGGGAGGGGTGGTCTGTCCGCCGGCCACAGGGAGCAGGGCCAGCAGCACGCAGGCGGCTGCCGGCGGCACCACCGCAGCACCCATCCTGCACCGCGGTGCGGGCGCCGAGCGGGGCGTCCAGGGACCCTGCAGGAGAGAGGGGGCGTTAGGAAGCGGGAACTGGGGCTGCGGCTCAGCTCCTGGTGCTGCCTGTGCTGTCTCCAGGGCTCAGAGCATCCCTGCCCGCAGTCCCCGGCTGGGCATCCCCCCCACCGGGCCACGGTGAGCAACCGGGTCCTGGGCACAGCCGAGCCCACCCCAGTGCAGCCCAAAGCAGCCCCAAACAGCACCGGGCAGACATGCGTCCCCCGTTGGCTCCTCGCCTGGAGGCCGGAGGCAGCCGAGGGGGGCTCAGCCCCCTCTGCGCCCCACATGCTCCCTCCTGACATGGGATTTCTCTGAGCGCGGCCGGCTCTGGGGCTGTGCTGATCCCTTCCTCCGGTGCCGGGAGCGGGCAGCACCGTGTCGCCTGGCTTCCCCAAGAACACCGAATGTGGGCCTGGGCCGGTCGGCAGAGGTAACGCCCGGGGACAGGGCTGTCCCCTCGGCTCGTCTCTGTCCCCTCGGCTCGTCTCCATCCCCTCGGCTCGTCTCTGCGTGCCAGCGTGTTCCCCTTTCCACTTCTCCTGTCCCACTTCCCTCCTCTGGCTCTGGGCACCGACCCAGCGCAGGTCCCGTGTCCGGCGCTGCTGGCCACTGGCACGCAGGCAGCCGCAGCCCGGCACGGCCCGGCCCGGG